AAATATTTTATTTTACGATGATTTTTTATTATAAAAGAATATTACTTCTCGATAATGTTAGACGACAAATTTTTATTCGAAAGTAATATACCTATTATCGATAATGCACATCTATCAGATATTTCATCTTAAATATTAAGAAAGTAAACCCTAATGTCATTTCACCATATACAAATGGGACTTATTTAGTTTTTTTTTCTTTTTATCATGATCATTGAACTACTTTTTTTTATATGAATTGATTCCAAATTATAAATCAAGATACGAAACGTAGAATTTTATTTAATTTTTAATAAACGATTTTTATGACGAGTTACAATAATACAAAAAAAAAAAAGAAACTATTACACAATTATGTTAATATCACATGTTTCATTAAAAACATGAACGAAATATAACTCTAATCGTTTTTCGAGATATTCAAATAAGACTGTTCTATTTTTTTTTCTTTTTTTATGGCCAATGAAATATCCTTCCTTATTTAAAAATGAAGTCAAAAATAATGTTAACCTTTTACAGAATATATATTAATATAAAACCTTTCTGTATATTTTATTAATAATCAGTAAAATGTATTCCTATTTTTATTACACATTTTGCACAAAAGAAATTTATATCCAAAAGAAAAAAAAAAAAATAACTTGAATCATAACAAAATATAAACCCTAATACTTTGTTTGTATCTATTTTATTATAACCAGTGAACTATCCATCACAACGAAACTTATCCCTACGAACCAAGCCACTGTTTCAGCTATCACAAAGATATTACAGTTAAGAATTTTTATGATCAGTTCAAGGATAGAACAAAGAAAGAAAGAAAGGAAAAGGATGGGAATGGCGACGGTCCTTCTGCTTTTACCGGTACATCTACGCAATAGAAAAAAAGAGAGAAACAGAGAAAGAGAAAGAGAGAGAGAGAGTTCGTCGGTTAGGGGGTGAGAGGAGTAAGAATAGCATTGGAGTACAGTCTATGCCGTAACAAGGGTGGCACGATTTCAAGAATGCGGAGCACGTTCTCAACCAATGCCGGCAGCCAGGCAGTAAAACAAATACGCCCTCCCTATATACGGGTGTCCCCGTAATACCACGCGTCTACGAATACCTCATACTCCATTCGAGTGTTGAGAAGCAAGCAGAGAGAGAGTCGACCTCGTTACCGATACCAACTGAGAGAAAACGCTTCTTAAGCGCGGTTAAACTTCTCGCTCTATTGCGAAAAATAAGCTTTTACGACAAAAACAGTAAGAGAAGGACAAAGAGAGAAATAGAGAGAAAGAGTGAGAAAGGGGGCATGCGTTAACTGTGCAAGAAAGTGAGATGGAAAAAAAAAAAAGAATTTTTTTTTTTTTTTTTTTTTTTTTTTTTTTTGCAAAAATCCAACTACCATTTCTTCTACATGATCGATCTAATATCCGTTTTGATCCGTTTAAACGTATAAACACATATATGTACGTACCTATGCATGTGGAGGTATGTATATTAGAAAAGTACTCACGAAAAGGAACGATAAAAGGTGCACAATAACCTCGCGTACGACGCAAATGTCCTCTTTCAAACGAGACTTCCTCTTTAGAAATGCAACCGAGTGATGGACAGGTAAAAGAAGTGGCCAATGTGGGCTGGTCTCAGCGTATCACGTGACACACATGTCAACGGCCTTTGTTTCGCATCCTTTTGATTGAACGTTCAGAGCACTTCTTTTTCTTTTTTTCTTTTTCTTTCTTTTTTTTCTTTCTTTCTTTAGTTCTAAAACCGAATTCTTTTCGTCGTTATATGTCTCGAAATATTTTCTTATAAAATAATTTCAGAAGAAAAAAAGATAAAAAGAATTATTGATTATGTGTAAAACTATAAATGATTCAATTTTTTGTGATAGGAATGATCAGACATTTTATGAACGTGGAATTATGACACTGCTCTCTCTGAACGATGGCAAAAGGTCATCGACAAAAATGAACTGTAACTAATCGAATGAAGTTATATTTTTTAAGAAAAATTGTAAATTTTTTCCTTCTTATTTAAAATTCGCAATCCACTTAGTTGCCAAACCCAATAGATACATATATACAATTTGTCATTTAATTATGTATACGTTTTAACAAGTTTAATTGTTAGTTTAATAAAGCAAGGTGTAACCATTGAAAATGTTTCTATAGTATGAACTCTGATCTCAAAACATATCTACGATATTTGAATAGTTTACAAAAGAAATGAAAGGAGCTTTTACAAAAGTGGACCAGTTTTCACCTGATCTGGATCACGATCTATTTTCCGTCGTCAACAGATTCGTGACTATCTATCTCTCTCTCTCTCTCTTTCTCTCTTTCTCTCTTATAAACCTGTTCGTTCGCGTGCCGAGGTCCTGGCCTGGGTCCCAGAATCCTGTTGAGAATTCTCCTATAGTAACGTGCTCGTTTCAAAACTGGTCCATCTAAAAAAAAAATAAAAGGGGGATGCTGTGATGCCCACTGTGTGTCCGCCTTATTATACGCAAGCCTATGGTCTTCAAATGAATCCAGTTAACCTTTGACACCTATGCATATCCAGTCATCCTCCGTTCTTCCTGTATAACTTCCTGCAACAGAAAACTGGTCCATCATCGAGAAAGGGGATTGATTCTATCTCCCTTATTTTTCACAGACCCACTGACGACCATTGTCCACTCGATAGAAAATAACTTCGACCACAAAATGTGCACCTAGTTAACCTTTGACTTTCAATTAAATAAAAAAGGTTAACCGTTCTTATTGGTTCTCAACCAGTTTTCTTTTTTTCTTTTTTGTTTTTTTTTCTAATCATTCTGCCGATGTATTTTTTACCTTATATATGATATGAAGATACATGTATACAGTGTTCTGAATTAAATAAAATATTTATATCAATGAAAAACATGTGTAATTTTATTATATTATTCGTGAAATGAAATAGAAATAAAGCGTTCTTTTTTTTTTATTATAATATTAAACAAATTCATGAAGCGTCCTGTAAAGAAAAAAATTTGTTTGAAATCATTTTCTAGTGGGGTTTGATGGAACTAAAATTATATGGTGTATCGGTAATATAGAAATCTAGAACGGTGTTGAAACACAATTCTACAATTGATAATATAGAAGTGTCGAGGGTAATTAAATGTTAAAATTATTTGAATCATCTACTTTATGAAATCTTATGATAAATGATATTTTAAAAAACGAGACATAATTCTTTAGAAAGAAAGAGTTCACTATCTATCCACTACAGCTATGATTTAAAAAAGAAACCTACAAAAAAAAAGAAATGTTATTCTAGGACTGTAATAATGCAATGAATGAATCGAATGCAATCTCTTTTATGGATTGCATCTTAAATTTAAAAAAACAATTTTCGATTACTCCCTGGTATCTGTAAATATATAAAAGTTATTAAAAACCATTATAAAGTAATTAGTTTCTGTGTTTAAATGGATAAAAGGAACCAAGGAAAAAAAAGAGTAAAGGAATATGATATTAATTAGGAAGTTAAAAGAAACTAATTACAATTATAATGTTTATGGTAAGCGGTCTTTGGCTGGGTTTTACTTGCAATGGAATGTATAACATATAAAATATGTTAAACATTATACTGAAAGTAAAAWACCATTGCCCAGGTCTAACCACGAGGAGGTAACCGCTTCCGAAGACCCGGGATGTGCATCCTGAAGATGTCCACATCCGAATTAAATTGAAAAGATATAAGATAATCTAATCGAGAACGTTTTTTAAAGAACATAATTCTTAGTCATCGCCCTAAAAATTTCACCTATTAGCAACTAACATTCTTCAACGTTTACATATCAAAATCTAACAGAAAATTGATTAAAAAACAATATAAGTTATCGGTAAATTTTATGTTAATGTATTGGCTTAGTAACGAAATTAAGTTTAAAAAAGTCATCTAAAGAAACATAAAATAAAAATATATCAACATTATTTTCTATTTATAGTACGTTAATAAGTATGTAATATTTAAACCAGTACATATGTGTTAAAACAAGCTGAAATATAAAAAGATTGCATTAGAGTATTAAAATAATCGTTAAATAATCGATAGAAGTGTCTATTGTTATCTAAAATCTCGGTGTATAGGATTTATGTACCATCCTCTTCGAAGTCTCCTGTTAGACTGAGTCATTACCCTCTAAAAATGTACTTTTATTGAAAGTTGTTTATATGACTTTCCGAACGTTACGCATGTGCATAAATGGAATAATCCACCTAATCAATAAAATTTAAGATCATAACGTTCTCATTTTAGTATTCTTTTAATTTTTATGTAATTGTTTAACCGCTCCTGCACAGTGATGAGTGCGAAGGTAAAATTATTTAACCGAGAACGTATTTTAAGAAACATAACTCTTAGGCCCCACCCTAAGAGTTTCATCTTTTCGCAAATAATACGCTTACGCCGAAATCTAACAAAAAACTGATATAAAACAATGTATGTTATCGGAAAATTTTAAGTTTATATATTGGCTCAATAACGAAATCAAGTTTAAAAAAGTTATCTAAAAACGTAAAAGAAAAATATATCAAAATTATTTTCTACTTTAAATACGTTTTAATAGGTAATGCAATATTTCAATTTATATATATATGTTAAAACAAACTGAAATATAAGAAGAGTGTATTAAAGAATTAAAATAATTGTTAAATAATCGATAGAAGTGTAATTATTGTTAAAAAGCTCGGAATATATGTTTGGAGCTCCGTCCTCTTCGAAATCCACCTTGAGACTGGCACTTTCTCTTCTATGAAAATTACTTTTATTGAAAGTTGTTTATATGACTTTCCGAACGTTGCGCATGTGTATAAAGGGAATAATGCATCTGATAAATATAATTTAAGATTATAACATTCTGATTTTAGTATTTTTATCACTTTTATGTAATTTTTTTAATGCATTTGCGCATTGATTACTTCGAGGGTAAAATTTTCCTGTAATATAAGTAAATTGCACTAGTGCAATAAAATAATTGTTAATTAATCGTTTAAGTGTTTATTGTTGTCTAAAAGCTCAGAGTATAAGATCTATGTACAATTTTCTTCGAACTGGGTCATTGTACTTTGTTAATATTCTTCTGTTAATTTTTTTTTATATTACCATTTGAACTACATACATACGCTTCTCATTTAAATCGTTTTCGTTTATTACTATAGATGGTGTTAGTATTGACGACACTGTAGCGTGTTCAATAATATTCAAAAATAATTCATTCATTGGGGAAAAATATTATATGAATATTTTTATTATAAAACGTATCAAAACAAACTTATACAAAATATATAACAAACTTAACAAAATCTTAAACGGAAAAAGGAAGTAGTGACTAGTGTTCACGTTTTTAGTCGCTGCTAGTCATTAAGCGTGCCTCGCTCGGTGGTTGGGATGGAAGAGAGCGAATAGCAGCGGTTGTTGATATAAGTGGGTTTTTTTTAGTTATTTAGTTTCGCCACTAGAGGCGTGACGTTAAGAATGCCGGAGGCGCCAAATTTTGGCGTGACGGCCACAATACTCCCCCTCAAGTCTCTTGAGATGGTAGATTGAAAGAGACTTTCTTCATGACGTATGTTTTGGTTGGTATGTTTATTGTTCAGTCCAGTGGTGTTCAGGTATTGGATTGATTTCTGTAGGTTGAGCGTCGTTTTCTGCATCCGTTTTTGATAAATAAGCGGGTTTCAATCTGTCGATGTTAATGTCCTTAAGCGTACCATTTATATCTAGTTCAAAAATTGTATTTGATTTTCTTCTTGTAATTTTATATAGTCCTCGATAAGGTTGTTCTAGCGGTGCTTTAACGTGATCGGATCTAATAAATACATGACTGCAAGTATAGAGGTTTTTTGGAATGAATATCCTTGATTTAATATGGTGAGCTGTTGATGTCGGTCTCAGTCCTCTCATGTATTCACGATGCTTTTCTACAAAAATCTGTGGATTAGCTGCAGAGTCATTATTAATGAAAAATTCACCTGGAATGCATAAAATGGTTCCATATAACATTTCCGCTGGTGAGGCTTGTAAATCTTCCTTGTAACTGGTACGAAGTCCAAGTAATGCTGTAGAAAGTATTTCTGTCCAAGGTTTTGGTGAACACATTAATGCAGATTTAAGCATGCGATGCCATCGTTCGATCATACCATTTGATTGTGGGTGGTATTTTACAGCCAATTTCGTTGTCTATTACAGCCAATGAATCTAGTAAAAGCCTGAAACAAGGATGACTCGAATTGTGAACCTTGATCAGTTGTTATTGTTGTAGGCGTGCTATAGTGTGCGATCCAGTGGTCGAAGAGTGAAGTAATGATGGTGTCTGCTGTAATGTCCTTTAATGGAACCGCAATAGGCCATCTGGAGAAACGGTCAATGATGGTCAAACAGTATTTGTAGTTATTGTGTTCAGGTAGTACTATGATGTCTAAATGAATATGTTTAAATCGATCATCCAGTATGTTAATGTGTTGAGGTGGAATGCATGTATGTTGTTGCACTTTGGAAAGTTGGCATGGTATGCATTCCTTTGACTAAGTATTAGTATCTTTGTTGATGCTTGGCCATACAAACTTCTGCCATAGTTGTCGTGAAGTTGCTTTTTCTAGTTTCTGTGAGAAGGCGTAAGTTAGCAGTCTGTGATCTGTTCTTATTGTAAATTGTCGTCCTTCTAAGAGGTGTTTGAAGTGTTTAATACTAGCGAAAATGGCAAGAAGTTCTCTGTCGTAAGTGCTGTATCTTTTTTCAGTCTCTGTCAGTTTCCGTGAGAAAAAACCAATCAGTCTTTATTCATTATCTTTTTTTTAGCCTGTTGTTTAGCAACTCTATCGAGTTCTTCTCTTTCTCTCTCTGCTTGATTTTTTAATCTTTTTGCTCTCTTTCTACCTAATTTAGAAGTAGGCGCAGGTTGAAATATAAAATCTGTCCTAGTACATGAATTATTCTCGCCTTGATTCATATACCGTACAAATATTGCAGATTGTGATCTGTAACATATAGAATCTTCGATTCTTGGTTCAGAAGAAGATCCGTGTGGACTTGGCGATTCCTCTGGTTCTGGCTCACCAAGATTCTGTTCCATCTTTGGTTCTTGTACAACTGGTGGTTGTGGTTGAGGAGGTCGATGATGGTGGTGTACAGAACTAGTCGACGTTAAACACGTAGCTGAAACAAGCGACGGTTAACGCTGAGTATTATGTGAACTATGTGATGACGAGTGACTATGAGAACTATGAGAGGAGATGGTTAACAGTTTGTCGTGATGTAAGGTGGTTACCTGGTGCATACTAGAAGAATGGTGATGGGTGGCAATAAGATTTTCTCCTTCTTCTCTGGTTGTTACACTAGAGCTTGTACTAGAATGATAAGCTGTCAGCTCGGTGGTTGGGACGGAAGAGAGCGAATAGCAGCGGTTGTTCATATACGTGGGGTTTTTTTAGTTATTTAGTTTCGCCACTAGAGGCGTGACGGTAAGAATGCCAGAGGCGCCAAGCTTTGGCGTGACGACCACAACACGAACACCTCTAGTACCGCTTAAGCTTTACTATTTCCATCGTAGTTGTTTATCTGTTTGCGTCGTGAAAGTTGATGTAGAAAAAGTATTTTTTTTATTACATTTAATTAAAATATAATGCGATATTCGCAGTAGTTATTCGTTCGTATGAAATGACTGATAAATCTAAAACAATGAGCCACGTAAAACACATTCCGAAAGATGCCCAAGTTATTATGTCCATCATGAAAGATATGGGAATTACGGACTATGAACCGAAAGTTATCAATCAATTACTTGAATTCACATATCGTAAGTATTTAATTATATATTCTTAATTATTATTAATATTCATTAATATTAATATTATATAATAATTCATTTCTAAAGTTAGAGATATACAATTTTATTTTTCAAATATAACGTGATTTTAGGTTATGTTACTTGTATACTAGACGATAGCAGAATATATGCTAATCATGCAAAAAAGAAGTTCATCGATTTAGATGATGTAAGATTAGCTGTTAAAATGCAATTAGAACGTTCTTTCACTAATCCACCACCGAGGGACGTGTTGTTGGATGTAGCTCGTGCCAAGAATACTGTGCCATTACCATTCGTTAAGCCCAATAATGGTTTGAGATTGCCACCGGATAGATATTGCTTAAACGCAACTAATTACAAATTAAAGAATGCTACTAAGAAAACTGTTACAAAGCCAATTCACTCTTTGGTCGGTAATAATATATCTGGAGGACAATCAAGAATCAAAGTAGAAGGAAATAAGACTGGTCTTTCAATAGTCAAAAGACCGGGTACTTTGACCACTGTTGCCAGAACGCAGACTATTTCTATACCAAAGCCTGTATTAAAATTCTCAACCGGTAAGATAATCTGATAATTTTCTATTATGAATAAAATAATTTTCAGATTGTAATATGCAAATATACATTTTCCTAGACCATTTTCATGTCCTTCAATCCCATTCAACTGTCCCGTCTTACCACATTTCATTGAGAGCTCGATTATGTGAGACCAAATGTATTGTTTCTATATTCAAAAAATTTTTTATTAAAACATATATCATTTTTATACCTACTCCTTTTAATTTATTTTTTATTTTTATAGCACCAACAGGGACAGCCACTGTTAAAGCACAGGTAACGAAACCAAAAATACAGGTTTCATCCGGACAAACTATGCCACCTATCAAAATGGAAACAGATGACATTTTGAAAAGAAAAAGGGAAGATGATGACTATGATGTTTCATAACAGTACTTAGTTATCGATATAACATAATATTTGTATTTCTTGTTTTACTCATATTTGTTATAGTTAGAAGTACATAAATTGTTGTATATGTTTAAAATTAATTGTTTGTATTTAATTTTATTATAAAAAATAAGTACATAGTTTATCATTAGACATTACTTTTTTTAGTTAGCTTATGTAATGATAAAGTATTAATATTTTTCTTTTATGAATGAACATAAAAAATAAATACAATTTCATTAATAGCTCCGTATCCCCAATGATAATACGTATGTAACGCATCTAATATTAATTTTTTATAATAACACAAAGCATATATAAAGCCTATCATATAAAGAATATTGTTAGCTTGAAATCGTTAATTTAATATCAAAATTTGTACTGTATTAAAATAGAGTAGTGTATAAGATAGAATTATAAAGTAAAAGCTTTGACAAGCTTTATTTTAAAATATTTTAATTATTCAGTAGCGTATTATTGCAATTAGCCTTCATCTTCCATAATTATTTCATCCAAGATAAGATCTTCCTCCTCATCTTCATGTTCCTCAACAGCTGCCATAGCAGCTTCAATTGCAATTTCTTCGTCTTCAAAGATATGCCTGTCATCAATTTCATATTCATGTTCTTCTACATCATATTCTTCATCCTCTCCTATTTCTTCTTCCATTGATATTTTAGTTTCAGGAACTTCAGTTTCTTCCAAAGGTACTGAAACTTCCGATGGAACTTCGATATCATCTACTCCTTTCTCTTTAGTTTCTTCACTTACAACTTGTTCTGATGGAGTCTTATATAATATTGGTGGTTCTTCCACCTCTGGTTTCTCATGTTTACTAATTTGTTTAACGTCAACTTTTTCTCTAACACATTTCCTTTGACGTATTGGTAAAAATAGTTTATATTCAGCTGGTAATTCTTCGTCATTATATAATCTATTTATAAAAATGAAAAAAACAGAACACGTTAATAATTATATCGTATCAAACTATGATGTTATTAAATAACGACCTTGATGAAAAATAGATTCGTCGAATTCTACAATTGGCGTGCATCTGCATCCTCGTAGTTTCCACGTAATTAGTGCCGTATGCACGCCGGGTAAAATCTGCTAGATTAAATTGAATTTGATTCCAACCATTGGATAAACCGATTGGCATGGTCGTACAAAATGGACGAACTCTAGTCGTACTTTGAAAATTGCTTACACGAAATCTTCTGTGCATATTTTTGTCATCGAGAATCTAAAAAAAAAAAAAACAAAGAAATAATTAATTTATAAATAATTATAATAATAAATGTAAATTATATTAATAATTAGTTTATATATATATGCAGCAATATTATTACAATTATCACGTTTGATACACGTGAAAATTTCCATTCAGGGGTCGCATGTACCACTGGGGGGTATACGCTGACATATTTATTTTATGCGTTAAAATATCAAATGGTCTGAATGAAAAATTGAACAGAAACGACTCGGCATACACAGAACGCGCGTTTACAATAATAAATTATTTTCTTTTCTTAGATTCTCTCGATATATATGTAAAAATTTAATTGAAAATAATATTAAACAAAAATTAAATTTGACTTACGGTTATCTCGAAGGTGAAATATCGTTTCATATTTTTAATAATCATTATTAAAAATGGTAATGAAATTCCAAGAACTTTTTTCTTCTCTGCTGGACAATAAATGTAGGTTGTTGCCACATTAGTTCCAGCTAATTCCAACACTAATGATTTGACCTCATCGTCAATGATTCGTCGTATATATCCATTCTTTACCTAACAGTATCGTACTTTAACAAGATTGTTCATTAACGCGTATCGTAAATAGAAGATTTCTTTAACAATTTATATACATACTTCATAATAAAAGAAAAAATAAACTCACGTGCATGCCCCACAATTCTAAAGGAGCTGGTCCACAGCTGTATAAAATTGTTAAAAATCCTTTTTGATAGGTATTACGAAACATCTTTAATATTTTTGATCTCTAAGGTGATTTTGAATCATCGATCGAGAACGTGTCAATGTCAACGATATTTCATACTTATCTCAAATTATATTAATTTTTCTTTGTTTATTAAAATAATCGAAGAAACAATTTTTATAATTGACTGAATATAACAACTTACGCATAGGAGTGAATAAAAATGAATTAAATATGATTAATTGTGAGTAATGTTAGAAGAAAAAATGTCATTTAATAGGCATATTATATAAAAGAACAATTGAGAAGAAAAAAAATTATGTAGGCGGCAGCGTGTTTATCAAGGTAAAGAGTAAAGTACGCTTAATGATAAATATAATTGAATTTAAATAACGAGTAATCGATTACAGTTTATAAAGGTCATTTATTCTTGCTTTCTGTACGTCTACCTGATCCATAACAATAGACACGAAAGATAGATGTTCGATAAACGCATATACATACACGTGCACGCATGCTATTAATTATTATTTAGTTAAGAATAACGTAATATCTCGTCAATACGTCGACGTTCCTTTTCAGTTGCAAAATCTGGTACGATCGTGATCCTCGGTGACATTCCAACGCTAAAAATTCGATCGATCCTTATGCTATCTAGGGCAAACATTTGTATCATCGCAAAATGCATGATCTCACGATTTAGTTGACGTGATATTTGTTTCTTGATCCTTTGCAAACGCTGACGGCAGACGACTTGACTTCGGTAGAAAAAAAAAAAAAAAAGAAAAAAGAAAAAATAAAAAGATTAAAACAAGAAAGAACAAAATTAAAATCAAATATAATTAATGATTATTATTTGTTTATTGTGTGTTGAAAATTGTTTGTACGTTATCTTTAGATCTATCGAGATTTTTATTTTTGAAAAATTTTTTTTAAATAAGTTAGAATTATTTTACAGTCATATATAAATTATATTTTGATTCTTTTATTTTTTGTTAATATTTGAAATAATTTTTATTATTTTGACGAGAACTTATATAATTTTAATGTAAAAAAAAAAAAGGTATAATTGATTAAATTTGTATTTTTTTTTGTAATTAAATATTAAATCTTACTAAGGTAGATTTTTGAGCTTTGTGTAACTGGGATGAATCGATACGTCGCTTCTATAGAGTTCAGGAAACAGCTTCATATGTTTTGAACAATACTTCCTAAAACGTTGCTTGATCTCCTGTTCAAAACGAGATTTTCTTAAATATTCTTCATCGGTATAGTTGTAAATAGTTTCACCACTTCTTCTAAGAGACAAATTGTTCCTCGCGCTAATTGTTTTATTCATTTTTATTTAAATTTATTTACTATTATACTTTTACTTTTTTTTTTTTATATTTTTTTTTTACTTTCTCTCTCTCTCGAAAGAGGATTGATTATCGGACAAAATTTAGATCTTAGACGGAAAATTTTGAAAGGAGGAGGTAAGAGGAGAGAAAAAATAAATTATAAAAAAGGGATGAAAAAAAAATATGTAAATCGTTGAAATTATTCACAAATCACGGCGCGTGTCAAGCAAGACTGACGACTTCAATGAAAGTTGGCAGATCTGTTACGAAGTGAGCCCCTGTGCCTCGTACGAATATCGATTTGGTTTCTAGGAGAACCAATAGTGAGATATTCGGTTTATTCTTATTTCTACTTGATCACGAGATATTACGTTACGTTGCGTTGACGACGATTAGAAAAATATTAGACGAATCGTAGCAAAAACGAATGAACGAACGAACGAACGAACGAACGATTAGAATCGAAGATGTTACTCGATTTTACCAAGACGAACATTTATTTTCCTTTTACATTTGCAAATTTACATTTTTTTTATACCTACGTTAAAATCATTTCAAATAAAATATATAAAATATGAAGATCACAAACTATAATAGAATAAAATAATTCGAAAAGACAAATTCAAGGTTTACGTATTCGAGAAAATGATTTCTCTGGCTGTGTTAGAAATATTTTGGATCGAACGTTGTATAAAAACGAACGATTAATATTGGATTTAGCATGGGGGGAAAATTTCCTTTTTTTTACATTTATAAAAATACATTATTTTTGTCTATGTTAAAATCGTGTAAAATATAATATGAAAGTAACGATAGCAAACTATAAAAATATAAAGTTATGATGAAAGAAGAAAAATTCAAATTTGACATTTCGAAGAAGCTGTTACAAGTTCAATAATATTATTATTAATTTATGAATTATTTGTTTTAAGTCCATATACCTATATATATACACACATACATATATATGAACACCCAGGTGCAAATTTAAACTATGTGGAAAGTATGATATAGTTAGGAAAAATAAATTAACGAGGGTAACAATATGGAATATAAATGATCGTCAAACAAAAACGACCATCGGTTAGAAAATTGAAGTGCACAGAAGGAACGAATTTAATTAACGTACGCGTGGTGTACTTTATCGAAACTGTAGTTAAGCCTTTATCGCACAACGATTGTTTCAAGAGAATGGACTTGAGACACGAAAGCATTTCAACGGAGAAAGTGGAAGAGGAAATGTTTCGAGGATATTCAAAAGTCCTTTATTTAATGTCTTCATATATTGCCTTTAACTATAGGGTGTTCTATAAATCAAATTGATCAAGCTTTCATTCATTTTGTTAAATGATTTCATTTACGAGATTTAAATCATACAGATAAATACAAAAAGATTATTTATAGAAATTTGTACAGTTAACACGATCATTTTTTATGTAATATTGTTAAAGGTTTATTTTTTTAAGTATGAAATTGTAATTTTTTTACGGCGATATAAAAAATATTCTATAATATATATATTTAGGTATTATAAAGAGATAGGATACATTTAATTCTATCACGCTTCGCAGAATTATAAATTTCAACTTTTTCCGCATCCTTTGTGAGCTTTATCGGCCACCCTGTATTTTAATTCCATCTCATCCCCCCTGTGTATTTTTATTTATTTTTAATTCTTATTATACGAAATTAAACAAAATGAATCGATAAAAAATTCAACTGAAATGAATGATATAATCATTTTCAATTTATCTAACGAAGATTAAAACTTTCGATTAACACCCGGTGACGTGCTATTAAAAACTTAAAAATATTCACTGAAATTATTATCACGTTATTCTATACGTAATTACTTGTTGAAAACCTATAATATTATATAAATACTTCAGCACAGAATTATCGTATAAAATAAATGGACAAATAATTTAATCGTATAATTCCATACAACACACACACACACGAGTGTATAAACCAAATGTAATATTTCCTAAACAATTATTACAATAATTACATCGATTATGTATTCATAAATTTCATTATTTTGTAAGAACACACACGTTATATTACATTGATAATATCAAACCTATAAAGAAACAAAAAATTCTATCATATTGTAGAAACAAAATGGAATAATTAATCGGAAGAAAAATATCATATTCCCGAGACGAGAATAAATTTCAAATTCAAATACTTCGAATAGATGAAAATAACGCATGCGCAAATTTTAATGGTAGCCAATGAAAGAGAAGATAGAAGGGAAAACGAAGTATAATTTGTTAAGATAATGATATAAAGATTTAGAGGAGGAAGAGGGGATGGAGAATGAGTAAGAGAAAAAGAGAGAAAGAGAGAGAGAGAGAGAGATAGAGATAGAATGAGTAGCTCAGCAACCATGCTCGAATATATTGATATTTTCTGTCGCGCTCGCGCGAAATAGTGAGTGCGTGTTGATACTAAGGGGGTTGGTTGTTCGCGAGTGAGGGTAGAAGAGGGTTGTTCAGAAATGTAAGAGAAAGATAGAGACAGAAAGGTAGCGTCACGCCCGAGGGTTAAACGTGTGCATACACCAGTCTCGAAGCGTCCAGCTGATCGCGGTGACTTCGTCAACGTGATAACAAAGTGACGAACATGTTACTTGCATTTATAATCATTCGCGAGTGAAGAAAACTAAATAAAATAAAAGAAATATTAAATTAATAATAACAAAGCTATATATATATATATTATATAAATAAAAATAATAAAAGAAAAGAAATATCAATTAAACAATTTTATCATCAAATGAGACAATATCAAAATGACACGGTGATAATCGAAATTCGATTATTCGTTAATTTGACATAATATGCATTATTGCAATTATTTTATTGTCAATTTTTTTTATATCTAACGCATACACACACATAGACTAACACAAACACAAACACAAACATGTATTATTATTATTATTATTATTATTAACGCGTTCGGGGGAGTTATAAAGTTTAAGTGAAATTTTGTTATTCGTTCTCCATCGGTGACCTCGTAAAAAGGCTTAACACACGTTATGTGAGCTTATTAGAAAATTATTTTATTATTGAAAATTTTCTTCTATTTTTTTTTTCCTCTATTCCTTTCTCTCTCTCTCTCTCCCTCTCTCTTTATTCCTATCCATATCTATTACCGTCTGTCCGTTTATTTATCTGTATATCTATAGAACTATATATATATATATATATGTATATCTATATAACCATACATATGTAATCCGCCGCGACGCCGGATGTCGTTGGACGTCGCGACGTCGTCGTCGTCGTCGTCGTTGAGACAGCAGAGTACTCCCGACGCTGTCATTATTAACGGATCGGATTATCATCATCTTCCCTTGGTTTCAATTACATCTTACTTCCTTATTTATTTAAAAGACGATACGCAATACGATATTTACTGGCTGCAACGGAAACACAACAGGCAGCTCAATAATTACGACAGATTCGTACAATGGCCAGCGAAAGGATATCGGGTCGATACAGGTTTGTCTTATGTTTTGTTTTTTTTTTTATGTTTTATTTTTTCATTTTACACGTTTCCTCTTTTTTTCTTTTTTTCTCAAAATCAATTTTTTATTTTTTTATATAACTTAATTTTGTATCGATTATAATCATTAAACATTTTTTTTCTTTTCCCCTTTCGTTTCTTATATATATCTTTTCTTTTCTTTTCTTTTTATTTGTAATTTATTTGAATTTAACGTTAACAATTCAATATAGAATTTTAGTATAACGATTTTAGAACGTGATCGAACTATCGTCATATCAGAGATTTTCATTGAGAACTTGGTTATCGATCGTTAAACGAGGGTAGACAAAATGAATAGTATTACTCAGTATTGTACTTTCTCTTCCGTCCTTGTTTTCGAGACACATAATAATGTTATTTCCTTTTAAATGGGGGTAGATAGAAAATGTTCCTTATCCGAAGATACATCTATTTTCTTTCATATCTTTTAATTAAGAATTCATTTCGGATGTTATAAATAACACAAACGAATATATAAGTAATAAATGAAATGAAGAAAAATTGAATAAAATATTATATTCAAATAAATCATTTTTCATTATTTATTCTATGAAATATCATAGGAAACTCTATCGATATTATCCATTCGTGAAAATTAAACTATCCTAATTTAAAATATTATAGAATGAAAAATGAGGGGAAAATCGAAGATTGATTGAATACAATTTTTAATATAATTAATATTGAATTTTTAATTTTATAAAATATCTTATCTTAGAGAAAGATACCACCATCGACGTTTATCTATTCATGAGAATGAAACGATCGTAATTTAAGATATAAATAAAATAAAATTGAGAATGATTGAATATGATTTGTAATTAAAATAAATTTGATTTTTAATTTGATAAAATATCGTAGAAAAAGAAAACTAATCGACGTTATTCATTGATGAAAGTTAAAGGATCGTAGCGCGGATGAACGACCTACTCGAATATCGTAGCGTAAAGTAGAAATACAACTAACGAGGTCACCGACACAAACTACAGTCGCCTTCTCTCTCTCTCTCTTTCTCTCTCTCTCTCTCTCTCTCTCTTTCACTCACTCTCTTTCTTTCTTTTTTTCTCTTATAGATAAATATAGTACAAGCTATCTAACAATAAAGTAATCGTACTTGAATATGAATAACTGATCATTTTCTGATCAAATTCAAAGAACACTTTACAGAGAATGTGTATATATATATATATATACATATATATTTATATATAGTATGATTGCTTTTACTTTGGCCTTTTCTCTTCTCGAGAGGAGAAGAAACTTCATTTATCGATTAGGAAGGCAAGCAAGCCTTTGGGCGATTACGTTGCCAAAATAACGTGTATAGGAGTAATCGATCGTATCAGATGTTCCAATGTATTCTTGTATGAAACTATGTATAATATTTACCTACACACGTGTTTATGTTCGTGTAAATGTTTATGACGTGATATATGGTTTTTTTTTTTAGTGTATTTCTCTTTTGAGGATGAAACATATTAATTAAAATTAAGATTTATGATTTGTTTAATTGAAGAACATCATTACCAGTTCCTGGCCACTCAGAGGTAAATCTTTGCTCAGTGTTGTCACTGGGCAAGGACCTTAGTAAAATCACAATGCCGGTTATATTCAACGAGCCACTTTCCTTCCTTCAACGAGTAGCAGAATACATGGAATATGCTAAATTGTTGAAACTGGCATCCGCTGAACAGACACCTGTAGGCAGATTACAAGTTAGTTGAATATTTATTAGATTTTATCTAAGTAACTCTAATGAATAAGACATATTTGTTTAATATCACATCATGTTTATTTTATAGTACGTAGCTGCTTTTGCTGTAAGCGCATTGGCTTCTAATTGGGAACGTCTTGGAAAACCATTTAATCCGTTGCTTGGCGAAACTTACGAATTAACTCGTGAAGATTTTAGGTAACAATTTGATTTTACAATATTATTCATTTGAAGTTGATTCATAGTGGTAAATCGAGTACTCTATCATTTCGAATCATGAATTTTACATTTATTTTTCAAATTTTATTAATACAGAAATATCAAACTAATTATTATTTATAATAGTTTTTGTCAAAACAAAATAGAATGTATTAAAAATATTTATATTTATACGCGAAAGAAATATTTTTAATATCGGTTTTATAGAAAATGGTTTGTTAAATTTACGATATTTATTAATAATCTATGACTCATTTTTGTATATTTGAATATTTTCAGAATAGTATGTGAACAAGTTTCTCATCATCCGCCAGTATCGGCGTTTCATGCTGACAGCGAAGATTTCGTTTTTCACGGTAGCATACACCCTAAATTAAAATTCTGGGGTAAATCGATAGAAGTACATCCAAAGGGTATCGTCACAGTAGAATTACCCAAGTAAGAGTTTATATATGATATTATATAATATTTAACAGATTTTTATATTATAAAAAAAGCTTTTTGTTAACAACTGATCTTGAAAATATAATAATCGATTTAATTTATTTATTTCTTATCTAATATTAGATGGAAGGAAGCATATACTTGGCAGAATGTTAATTGTATACTCCACAATGTATTGGTTGGCCAACTTTGGATGGAACAATTGGGTGCACTTGAGATTAAACAATGTGGAGGATCAAACTTAAAAGCTTTGTTAACTTTCAAAAGTGGAAGTTGGAATGGCAAGGATCTTCATCGTGTTGAAGGATTCATAACGAATCAAGAGTAAGATTAAGAGAAAATAATTTTAATAACAAAAAATAATGTGATTGTGTGTGAGAAAAAAAAAATAATATTACTTTTAGTAAAAGAAAATTGGTATATTTGTATGGGAAATGGACGGAAAAATTGTATGCCTGTGATCCGTCTTTGTACGAGGATGCACTTGAAAAATTAAAAAGGGATGCTAAAAGTCCTCAAGGTAGTCCAGGTCACAAAAAAGTTCTAGCTAAACTTCACAGCCTTAAAGTTGGAGCTTTCAAACCATCTCATCAGGTATGCTCTATATTAAAAAATTTATTATTATATTAAATATGAATATAATTGAAAAGAAAAAAAAAATAACTATTTTAATATTTGTTAGAGAAAGCACATTAAATTAGAAAATGATATAAATTATGTTAATATAATCAAGATTTTTTTTTTCTTATCCAAAATTTATTAATATTATTACTAAGTTTACTCTTAGGGAAGTTGTTTTTTGGACGGGTTTAATTAAGATGAACACTATATTTATCCGTTGAACGTTTCGTCTCTATTTGAGACTTCCTCAGCAACTTGATAGTTATGTTCATAAGTCAATATAACATCATTTTTATTACAGTCATAAGTTTTCACTATCTTATAAATAGAGTCAATTTTTAAAAAAACGTTATTCTACTCTAACTTTTCGAACACTACTAGTAGATTAAAAGTAGTAGAACTAAAAGTTATAGTAGAATAACGTTTTTTTAAAAATTGACTCTATTTATAAGATAGTGAAAACTTATGACTGTAATAAAAATGATGTTATATTGACTTATGAACATAACTATCAAGTTGCTGAGGAAGTCTCAAATAGAGACGAAACGTTCAACGGATAAATATAGTGTTCATCTTAATTAAACCCGTCCAAAAAACAACTTCCCTAAGAGTAAACTTAGTAATGATATAAATTATGTTTTATACGATTAAATTCGTAACGAATAAATTATTCATATATATTAAAGATATGAAATAATTTTTTTTTTTTTTTTTTTTTTTTTTTAATTAGGATGCAATCGAAGAATCATCTACAAGTATAGATGGTGAAGATACACCAATGATCGATGAAATACCAAATTCTACGACACTTTGGGAAGTTTCACCGAGACCTCCGAATAGTTCTAACGTAAGTACTTTTTATTTTTTTGTCTCTTTAATACTTTTTAATACTTGTCTCTTTATACTTTTGATTACTGCAAACAAAAAATTAATACATATTATTCCAATTTATAGTACTTTCAATTTACTACATTTGCGATGTCCCTGAACGAGATAGAAGCAGACATGAAAAAGGATTTATGTCCAACCGATTCGAGATTAAGACCGGATATTAGAAAATTAGAAAATGGTGATCAAGATGGTGCAGATTCTGAGAAGGCAAGACTTGAAGAAAAGCAACGTGATGCTAGGAAAATGAGGAAACAAAAGAAAGGACAAGAATGGACACCAAAGTATTCTAAAAAATTCTATTTTCTTCTAAAAAAATTGATCATTCATAATGTTATTAATTTTGTTGTTATTTTTACAGATGGTTTAGATGGACGGTTAATCCTTACACAGGACAAGACGATTGGTTGTATAAAGGCGGTTATTGGGAACGTAATTACACCGACATCGAAGATATATTTTAATGAATATTACAAAAATGATATCGACAAAGAAAACTAGGCCATGTATCGAAAGCCAAAACGTGTTGCATTGATGCGTTAGTTGTTGAGGAAAATTTTGTTGTTGTTTCTTTCCTCAGAAAAAAACAAAAAAAAAAAAAACCAAAATGATCGATCTTGATATTATCTGAGTGAAAAGATTCGTTGAAAATCATCAGCCAGATTTAAAAAAAAAAAAAAAACAAAAAAAAAAGCAAATATAAAACAACGGCTGGTACGTGTATGTACGTGTGATTAGATCGTAATTCTAGTAAAGAAATAAAACAAAGAAAAAATATTAGAATACGTTTAGGAGGTGTAAGCATGTCGTGAAAATGGCTAATGTTTAATTGTGTTAGACAAAATTTCTCTTCTTTTTATTCATCGTCATCTATCCCTATATTTTTATTTTCCACAGCACTAAAAGATAAATTTTAATTTACGATATATTCAAAATGTTTGCTTAAACGTCCCGCCCGTATGTAATAAAATAGAAAAATATAAATTTAAACGTAAAAATTTTCACTTGGAAATTTTGGATGGTCAAGAGGAAAATAAATAAAAAAAAAAAAGAAAAAAAAACAAAACAAAAAAATTGTGAATTAACAAACTAAACTCTGCAATTATGCGATCTGTGTTAAATTAGAACGCGAGCTTACGCCTCGTAGAGTGAAACCAAAAGAAAATAAAATATAAAAGAAAGAGAGAAAGAGAGAGAGAGAGAGAGAGAGAGAGAGAGACAAATCGTATGCAGGTCATACATATATATACGTAGATAATAAATATTTATATGTATGTGTGCGTGTGTATAAAAAAAAAACATAAGAAAGAAAAATGCTCGACGAAAACGAAATAATCGAAAGTTTAGAAAGCAGGTAATATAAAAACAGATTACTGTATGGTGCATCTCACACACTTGTATCCTTCAATCTCTTTCTCTCTCACTTTTTTTGTTTCTGTCTAACTTAATCCTGTCATCAACAACCCTATTTTTAGGCACGCTCTCAACTAATGAATTAATCACGGCGATTGTGTGTTAGTAATGTGTCAACTCGTTAGTGTGCCATTCATCGATAGATAACGAAGTTGTTTTATCACTTTCTAACTTAGAGAGACCTTCTCTCAAAGAGAAATAATTAAATAATAACAATTCAAACAAGAATTACGTGTATGTGTGTGTGTGTGTGTGTGTGTATGTGTTAAGTAAACATTGTCACTAGGAAGAAACAAAAGTACGTGATTCGTAAAAGGATAAATTCAAAGAAATTTCATTGAATTTGTCTCAATCGCAATATCTCTATTTCTCCACACACATCTCTGTCTTTTAATTAATTTTTTTCAAAAGAAAAAAAAAAAGAAAAGAAAAACAACACACGCAAGCTAAAAATAAAAAAAGAGACAGATATAAACGTATTATTATTATGCACGCGCGCATCTCGATGTACATACATAGATACATATACATAAATACATGCATACATATACATACTAACAATATAAATGTTGTTAACAAATGGCGAATACGAATATCCTCGAGAAACAATTTTTTATATTAGAAAGAACAAGAAATTGATTCTTCCTTACTATCAATCTTCCACGTGAGAGAATTAGAAAGAAAAAGAAAAAAAAATAAAGGAACAAAAGTAAACTATACGAACAACCGTACTCTAACCAATAAACAAATCAACATAAGCTGTCCAAAGGAACTTGTCGTGAAGAAGTTTTTTAGAGCACGCTCAAGCAGCACACCTATTATGCGTTCATTTTTAATAAAATTGAAAAAATATATTATGAAGAAAAATAAAACAAATCTTAGCGTCTCTCTGACACTATTTTTATAAACTATTAAACGAAAAGGTAAAGAATATGAAATAATCGGTAGCTTCTTGCTATTCTATGTACATACATATATATATATATAGAGAGAGAGAGAACGATTGTATCATAACGCTTGTACCTATTTTATTTATTTATCTAAAAAAAAAACATTCAATTTAAAGTAATTCAATTAACGCGATTAACTAAAACAAAAAGTACAAGAAATGAAGAACCAAAAAAATACTAATTATTATAGATAAGTTAATTAGAACAAATTTTAAATTATATATGTGATTAGGTTGTGATTACTTAATTTTATAGAATTTTACTTTTTTGTGATTATATATTATTTAATTATTTATTGATAGTTTTAATATTAGTTGTGCCAACTTAGTATCTTCCTCCGGTTCGAGTTGATAAATAGAATTAGGATTAGATCAGAATGTATACGGCCTTTAAAGAGCTTCTAAATCTGCAAGCTTAGCTTACCAGCTTAGCTCGATAGAATTTTCAGGAACGTTGTGTAATTGTATTAGAAATCGTCGTTTAAAAAAAAAGAAACAAAAAACAAAACAACAATTAAAGCGAAAGAATTAACGCGATAAATTTTCTTACGAAAGATTGACAAATTCTTTTCGATAATAATTATTATAAATTTTTATTACTTATTTTTTTATTTTCTTTTGCTTTGAATTAATTTGAAAAAATAAAAATTAGTAATAAATTAAAAGTGGACACACACACACACGCGCGCGCACATTTATACATACGCGTATATGTGTATGTACATACAAGTGGTATAATACATATACACAAAGTACAAAATTACATAAATGAATATTGAACAACACAATTAAATAAGTATATGCTTTTTCGATTTGTTCATTGCCACTATATATCAAACAGAAAAGCTAATTTAATTTCGAATCTTTTAAGATAGTCTCTGACTATCTAGATACGCTTTTTAGAAATCAAGCGTTCAATGGAGATTCGAGATGTCGATAATACTAATAATAATTATGTTAATAATAGTAATAATAATAATAATAATAATAATGATAATAATAATAATAATAATAATAATACTAATACTAATAACAATAATTGCAAATCTTTCTAAAGGAAATCAAAGTGTATATCAATCTATATACATTAAAATATAAGTGTGAGATAATTCGATATGGTAGAGCCTCGATCGTGTCAACATTTTCGGCAATTTGGAAACATTAATTATCCATTGTTATCAAATATTAATAATAGTATATATATATATATTCTTTTGTTGTAAAGCTTATTGCAATTTTTAGAAACGACTCTATTAATGTTAAAACATCATCTATTACCACATAAGAATCTATTTAAATGACATAACCGACGATGTGTAGTAAAACTTAGGATTAAAAAAAATTCAAGAAATAAAAAAACAAGAACATTAAAAAAAAAAGGACAGATAACAAATCGAGGTTCTATTATAAAACAAATCAACGAGATCTTGATTAACACTTATCGATCGATGATAAATTGTAATCGAAGATAACGTTCAGATAAACGAACATTATCGTTAGATAACGTATATATACATAACAGATCATATGAACACACACATACACACAACATACACATATATCTACATTGACAAGAAGCCACAGAAAATGACACGGTAAAATAATAACAGTAGCGTGTGTGTACGCTGATCCACATAGGAATTGATCTCTGTGCAATACGAACATTTTTACGCTTCGATACGACGTAATATACAATAATCCAAATGAAAAAAAAAAAAAAGGAAATGTTTATCAAAGATCATCCGTGATATATACCAGAACAAGAAAAGAACATGATCCTGTAAGAAAAAGGAAAGAAAAAGAAGAACAAAAAAAAAAGAATGATTAATCTTTATATAAACATATATAATTGAACTGATCGTTGCGTTGTTTAGAAAACACATTTCTATGAGGAGTTCGCAAATTTCTAGATAATATGAATTATCATGTTTAAGTTGCATATAGACGAGCCAGTGTATAACTGTAAATAGATAAATAGAAATTAGAAATAAACGTTATTAAGAAATAACTATACATGCAGAGTGTTATGTGATGTTCGATTTTGCATATCAAATTATCCGCGGTTTACAGGTATGGTGTATTGATTTCTCTTAAAATAAAATGAATCCATATCTTTTAATTTATTTTCGTTAAAGTAATTTAAATAATTTTTATTTCTCAGATTTTTATACAATTTCTTTATCTAATTACAGAAAAGATTAAATCTTTCAAATCTAAAATAAAAGATGAAAAAGACTAATAGTACTTACTGATAGATTCATATATAATATCATCTCTTTTCGAAGTAAGTTAAATATATATATTTAATTTATATATCAATATACTCATATATACATATATTTTATAATTATCATAAATTATAAAATATTTAATTAATTAAAAAAAATATATATTATTATACAATATATCAAACAAGCAACCGCGTAGGAACGCTGGCAACGAACCTTAACAGCACAAAAAAAATGAATAAGTGCTGTTATTTGCTCACTATTTGTGCTCAACACATTATTTTATCAAATAATTTTTATTTATCTGTTATTAGTTGAAAATAATTATTAAACTTTGAATAATTATGAAATAAAGTTGAGCACAAATAGTGAACAAATAACAGCGCTTATTCATTTTTTTTATGCTGTTAAGGTTCCTTGCCACCGTTCCTACGGTAAACAAGCAAACAAATATTATCAACCGACATTAATTACTCAGGAGGTAACTATATGTTCTCTTCTTTACCGACGCCTCACGGACGATCTTTCAATTATTGCCCGCGTGACGGCGCTGAGCGCGACGGTGCCATTTCCAATATGGCTGCTGCGACATTCGACGTACTGCACTCAGAAGGAATCGATCACGACCCGGTGACGGCTAACACGTCTTCTAGTCTCGCGTACTTTATTCCGAGAAGTGCAGACGTGCCTCTCCTCCTTGTGAACGATCACCTATAGTGCATTACGAATTCAAAGAAGAAAAAATAACATCGACGAATATCAAAGGAGTGTCTTGTTACGTGGACGATCATCTTCGGAGGTTAAACTATTTCGTTGCAACGACGATAACAAGATGAGCAACGTACCAACAGGTGAGAGAGAAAGATAAAAAGAGATAGATAATATACACACACATTGAATTAATTATAATTTATACTATTCATTTATCTTTCTCTTTATTGTATATAATTATTTTCACAGTTGATTTTTAATTTTATCGAATTACAACAATAAGCGATATTTTCTACGATCTATACTTGTATTACGTATGGTCGACGAAATGCGTTCTATGTTGGCGTGACGAAGAGAGAGATAGGAGATAGAGTGAGAGAG